GCGGCTCCATTCTAATTCTGTCTTGTGTGCTATATAGGGTGCAGGGTAAAGAATGCAGAACTTTGTCGTCTGCACCTTAAGCACCGGCACGCATATAGTTTGAGGGGTCGTCTACTCTCTATTCCTCCGTGCACAGGGCTTACGCGGTTACACGCATGCAGGCGTGCGGCCGGGCTTGCATACCGTATACCGTATAGCTCGCCGTGCCGTGGCGTCTTGCGCCTTGTGGTCCCGTGTGGCCGCACGCCCGCCGGTACAGTGCAGGCAAAGGCAAAATAAAGGAAGGGGTCTGTACAACCCTGTATTACCACAGACAACATCAATATTACTCAGATTATTTGGCTAAAGAATCACTGATGTGATGTACATATTGCACACACTCGTCGCCCTTTCCTACAGTTACTTTGAGCGCACCTCGTGCCGACTGAGGGCTTTAGCTAAGCTCATGAACCATGAACAAATAATTTCCGTCCTTTCCGCCGCAATAGATGCTCCTCCTATTTTGCACGCGCTCTGATGCCGAGTCTCTTGTTGGATTTCCCATGAATAGTCCCGCGGGCGCGGTGCGTGGAGCCGGGAGCCCCGTCTGCGTTGGAAGCGCAAAGTGGGAGCCGTTTCGGGATCGATTTATCAGCGTGGCTCCTGGCCTGGCGTGGGGCGAGGCGGGGCGGGGCCTCAGAGCAACGCACAGGGGCGCAGCTGTGCCGCTGTGCGCCAGGGGGCGGGGCGGGGCGCATAGGGCGCGTCAGGGGAGGGAGGGGCGGCGGTCGAGCGGCAGCGGGGTTGCGGGTAGAGAACAGGGTAACAGGGTGGCGAAGCTGGTTACTCCCTGCTGATTCACGCGCTCGGAGATACGACTAGATGTCTCCTGCTCGGGGGAGTTTTTGAGTTTCGTTTGACTTATTCTGTCCATTGGCTGAGCGATAGCGCAGAGTTTTAAATTCCGTTCTTCCATCCGTCCGTCTGTTTGATAAAAATATTACCACTTCGGATCTACGAGCAGCGTAGAACCTTTGCCATTACAGCGCAGGAAATACTGAAGAAAAAAAAACTGAACTGAAAGTGTGACTATGGGGTTCACCGCTCACCTCCTCCTCTGCCTTTACTCCTTTCCTACTCGGGTGACAGCGCCGCAAGCCTAGCTAAATGTAGGCGGGCGCGTCAAGCGTAATATTGTTTCGTGAGGATCGCGATGCCTGTTACGTGGAACGAGGTTTGGCGTACATCCAGCTAGTTCCTAAGTTACTCGCTAGAGTGAAAACGAGGGTAGCCGCTTGACTCTTCTGTACGACGCGGACACTAAACACCGCGCGCACCCCGTCACATTCCGCCCACCCCGACTTATTTTAATGTAGAAAGTTTCGTTCCCTTACTCTACACCGCCTCTCTACCCCCTCCCAACGCCCCTGTTTTCCCCCTTTTCTCTTTTCCCCTGTCGGCATGGAGGCGGTGTGCAGCCAGCAACGCGAAAAAGACGGGCGGAGGCGGGAGGCAGAGGAAAAGGAAAATGATTTTCCGCGTCGAGTGCCAAGTTCCGGAGCACCTTCGCGTGCTGCAGAGGCCAGTCCTGTCCTACCGCCCCTCCGCAGCAACCACTCAGTACTACTTGACTTCCCCTTGGCGAGTTAAAGACAACTTGACGCGCGCCCTCTACAAGCCCGTCTAGCACACTACCCTCATCCCCACCCAACGGCGCTCTGGTACTGGGACGTCTTACGTCTTGTACTGTGATAAGAAAGGCACTATCATATGCTGGTGCTCCTGATAATAGAATCAGCACTTTTAACATTTCTCTGGAATTTCAGATTCCTTTAAATTTTAACTTAGCTTCTTACAGTGGAAATTGAAAAGATGCTCACGCTTGCAGGCGTGCAACATTCTCTACCCTGCAGGTGTACGAGAATGACTATTCAAACAGTCGGGGGGACGAAGCAACGTTGCGTCGGGTATTCTGGTATTCGCTCAACCTACAAATGTATGGATATATTGTCGCACACCTGACAGTGACTCCTCCAACATTGATGCCGGTGGCGATGCGGAACTCACCTGGCCGGCGTTGTAGAGGCGCGCCATGGCTGCAGCTGGGGTGGCTGTCCCGCCGTCGGTGACTCCTCCAAACTCACGTTGTTCCAAATGTTTTTCTTGTTATTTTTCCTTCCCCCACTTCAGAATTTTCATGTTGCAGTCCCCCCGCCGGCCAGGTCTGGTCCTCCAGGGCCGCCCGCGTGGCCACCGCTCCGGGGGTTGTTGCCAAACATACTACCGTCCCGGAGGCGTCGGAGGCCCCGCAGGAGGCTCGGCACCGGGGGCGGCCCGGGGGCTGGGTGGTGGGCTCGGCGGCGGCGGCCGGCGGCGGCTCCCTAACAGCGACACCCACGCGTCGTCAGGGTAACACCGGGCGGCGGGCAACAAGTACGCCGCGCTGATCAATGCGGGAGCTCCGGCCAGGAGACACCCCCCGGGGCTCCAGCCAGGAGACACCCCCCGGGGCTCCGGCCAGGAGACACCTCCGGGGCTCCGGCCAGGAGACACCTCCGGGGCTCCGGGCAGGAGACACCCCCGGGGGCTCCGGCCAGGAGACACCCCCCGGGGCTCCGGCCAGGAGACACCCCCCGGGGCTCCGACCAGGAGACACCTCCGGGGCTCCGGGCAAGAGACACCCCCGGGAGCTCCGGGCAGGAGACACCCCCAGGGCTCCGGGCAGGAGACTCCCCCCGGGTCTCCGGGCAGGAGACACCCCCCCGGGGCTCCGGGCAGGAGACACTTCCCGGGGCTCCGGGTAGGAGACACTCCCCGGGGCTCCGGCCAGGAGACAGCCCCAGGGCTCCGGGCAGGAGACACCCCCCGGGGCTCCGGGACAGGCCTGGGGGCCGTCGGGACGGGGCTCGGGGCTCGGACGGCCCGCGACGAGCAGGGCAGATTGAGCGGGGCGGAGCGCGCGTAGGGTTGATGCCAGAGCCCAGGGCGTTGACTCCCCCGCCGAGAGAAACAAAGACCATCAACCGCACCGCAGCCTAACCAAAAGACTAAATGGCAGTAAAGACGTTTTCAATATTTTGGTAACAACAAGAAATTATTTGCAGGCATTGTCATGCGTGATGGGGCTGCACCTCCAGAATGTAATTTATTGAGTCGAATGCACGGGTTTCAATTCAATGTGCCTCGGCACAGGCTCCCCAGAGCCAAACTACAAGTCATATTTATTCACTTATTTACTTTCGTTATACAACTAAACACACCACTACATACTCATTTTTTTCCAGATGGGTTCTAAACGTTTGCTCCTAACTTTGTCTCAGTGTAACCATTTCTAGGACCTTAAAACGTCGATTACACGCGTGCAAGTTTAACATTGAAGAAAGGCAGGCTGAGAAAACGAGTCTTCTTTTGACATGCGTTGCTCATTTATGAACGCAAAACTCACTGACCGGGGTGGCCTTGCGGGTCGTCAAGTCAAGTCAAAGAGTATTTTATGAGTTTAGTGTCTTATCATACCAGTCATTGAGGGAGGTCGGGGTCCAGGTGTGCAATGCATTTTTGGGAGAATTTCGGTGATAATCTCGTAAACCGTCAGTTATAAATAAGATAGCTTCAAATTAAAATTGATTTTTTTTTAAACTTAAACTTTACTCAAATTGGTCGAGTTACAACTTTTTTTAAGTTAGCTGTTTAAAGAGATGTTGACACCCAAACTTCCAAAATGTTAAGTTTGTACGCCCTGGTTGGGGAGGGAGGGCGTCGCGACGCTGGCGTGGTGGTGGGGGAGAGCGCTCCGCGGGCCGGCGCTGCCATTGGTCGGGAGGCTGGAGGGGAGGAGCCTGGAGTCTGGAGGCTGGACCCGCTGCCGCTGGGGTGAAATGCAGCGGGGAGTGAGTACCGCCAACTGGGGTGGGCAAATCGTCTTGGGTAGTACTCGACGTCAAAACAGTACGAAATGTGCAAAGGAATACCATGACCTTTGCATTCTAAGGTGGTGTAGCACAAAACGAACAGAACGCACAACACAGTTGTTCGGAACGGTGTACAGTGTAGATAGAGCTACTCGTGACTAAGACGGGTTTCCTGCGTTTGCCACCCTGTCTGGTACGTAATGCTTGATTGCTTTGGGATGATGCTGATGCAAGGGTTGGCCGTGATGGGGCGGAGCTTGCCACCTGCGCCACCACACCCGCTCCACCCGCTCCACCCCGCCCTGCTCCGCCCCGCCCCGCTTCCCGCGGTCCACCCCTCCTCCCCTGCAGCCTCCCGCGCGGGTCGCGGCTGGTCCTGGTGGCGCAGTGCCTCCTCACGCCCCGTGGACCTCGGACCTCCGCGCCGTAGCGCTTTTGGCCGTCCAGGACACGCCCAGGACTCACCAAGGACCCCGGCTGCGGGGCAAACTTGCTCCTTTGCGAACGTGGACAACGTTGCTCGCCTATGTTCGCGGACCTCTCAACAGACTGCCAATTTTCGCGAACGCCAGGGGACCAGTTCTCGTGTAAGTACTATTGACTTGTAACTCTTTACGTTCTGTAAACATTTAGAGGCACGTTGTTGGGAATACGGACTTTGGTATGTAGGTTCCTGGCCCGTATGGCTGTAGGAGGGTTCTGTGCAGATTTGTGTGTACTGGTCCATTGTAGAGCAAATTGTCATTTTTTCAGCACAGAGAGAAGGGAGGGGAGGGAGAGGGGGAGAAGAGAAGAGAGAGGGGGGAGGCAGGTGGGGTGGGACAGCCGGGCAGCCGACACCTGCGACCCGGCCCGGGGCGAGCCGAGCGGCCCGAGACCCGAGTCCCGAGCGTCCGCACGGCAGGCGCCGAGCGAGTATGCAATCCCGCTGCGCAGGTGTGCGGTCGGTTTGCCTACCCAGCCACCGTAGGGCGCTGTGGTGGGGCGCTTCCACCAGGATTCAGGCTAGCTGGCCAAGAAACGGTGACAGATCATCCCTGAAAATGAACATTTTAAAAAAGAGAAAACCTGAGGGGATTGAGTTAATTGCGATTAACTCAATCCCCTCAGGTTCTCTTAGACGCGGCTAAACTGCGACCAAACCAGGAAAGAGCTAGAGGCTTTATGGGAGAAGTTCTCAAGTACTGCCTCCTCAGCTACTGCCGCAACTCATTGACCTGCTCAGGTGCGGCCCACGGCCCACCCTGTCGGCACGGACATTTGGTCGCAGGTCTTCGCGCTACCGCTGCAGCAATATACTGAGAGGCCAGGCTCTTTCTTAGTTTGGTCGCACTAGGAATCTCAGCTGGCCCGGGCAAGAGACAAGCTGTGAAGCTGTGGCCAATACAAGTCTATCAGTGTTAACAGTCCCTCATGTAGCCTGGGCCTGGGCCCGGGGCCCGCAACCCTTTGGGGATGGGGTGGCTCGCTGCGGCGCCGCTCCAGCGGACCGCCTGGATTATGTATGGAAGAGTCCCCATGGGCTGCATAAAGCCTGGTTTGCGGCGGACGAGTTGTTGTTGTGTCTGCGGCACGCGATTCGGCGCCCTGCGACCGTTCCAACTATTAATGGGAAATCGACTGGAATCGAACGCGCCCAAGATTTCGGGTTCAAATTATTAACACTTTCAGTTTGAACCTGAAAAGACACACGCCTCTCGCTCTCCGTGATAGAGTGCGTCTTAGGAACCAATTTGCATCTGATCTTCGATGTGCACGAAAACGTTATCTAATTAGGAACAAAATTGTCCTCGAAATTGTCCCTTTACATTTAGAGTGTATGGCCCTATTTTTGATCAAAATCACGTCTCTACTCCATCAGTCATATATCCGAAACGATTGCAGTTACGGACTCCCCAAAACTCATGTAACGTTTAATATTATTTGTCACAAAACGTAACGAAAGACGTTGAAAATTTTGCGTTACAGTAAGAGATTGTTACAGAAGAATCTGACGTTTGTCAGACACAAATCAAAATTGGCCCGCGGTACTGTTAAATGCGCCACTGTTAAAAATATTTCATTACATTTTCATTACATGTTGTGAAGCTATTTTCATTAGATTTTCGTAATGATATGTAATAACTTTTTCATTACGCATGGTGAAACTTCATTAAAATGTAATGAAATGCCACGATACGTATAATGAAAAAGTTATTAAATATCATTTCGAAACTCTAATGAAAATATCTTCACAACATGTAATGAAAATGTAATGAAATATTTTTAACAGTGGCTTCTAGACTATTGAACACTCGATGTCTCTACTCCTTTGGTCCTATCATGCAATCAAAATTCAGTAACATTTCGTCGCAAAGGTCAGTTAAACGTTACAAGTTATAAATTCAACGGCTTAAATAATGTGAAGGGATACTTACGTTAGGCTATGAGTCAAGTTTCCGGTCTTTCCCCTCTTGTTTCTAAATTTACTCGATTTCCTGAATTCTTAAGATATTTCGCTGTTAACATAAAATTTTATTGGTCCTCCACAGTCTTTTGCGTTTTCCGGGCGCAAAAAGATAAAACTATGTCTAACAAAACGAAAGCAAAATCTGCGTCAACAAAGAGAGCTCTGGTCAGCGCGGACGAGATCCCTTCGCTTGTCGCAGCCAGGAAAGGGAGACAACTACTGGGCCGATAAAAAGTGCATTACTGCAAATAGCCAATCGTGCGCCGCACCTGCACCGGCCCGACCCGGCGCGAGGATCGCCCTCCCGCACATGTCACCCGAGAAGGAGGAGGAGGAGGAGGACGACCCCCGAGGGACGGCGCCAAGCCAGCCGTGGGGGAGGCCCGCCGGGGCTGCGTGCGAGGAGCGCTTCGCTCCGCTCCGCTCTGGTTACAGGCGCTCACGCCTCCCTGCGGCCTCCCCAGACGCAGCCCACGGCCCACATAGTCGGGGGAGAATAAGGCTTTGCCAAACAAGCCGCTGCACCATAAATTATCGGGTTTCGCGGCGCGTTCGATTCTGGAGCGGCGCGCGACAAAACGACTCGCTGTTTTGACATGTTTCCGCGAAACAACTTACACGCGTAAATGGTATGGGGATGGTGGGAGGGTGGCTGCTCTTCATCTCCAACTCCAGGAGCGGCGGACCTGAATGACGGTATCCACTATGGGCTCCGGTGGGCTCTCTGGGGTCGTTGAGTCGAGAGGTGCGAGCCTCGGAACTCTTCTGCCCTTTCTCGACACTATTCCAGAAAAAACGCAGTTTGATGCAACTCAAACGGTTGCCTTTCCGTCCAGTGTTGAGACAACTACAAAGTAGTCGTGGTTTTGCGGTGTCACCACCTCACGGTAAAAACGAGTCCTGGAATTCCCAGGAATTTGAACCTCAGTGGGCCCTGAAAACAAGCAATTACTCCCAGGGGATCTCCTGAAAAACCCAGGAAATCCCCTGGAAAAATATTGCAAATTTCCAGGGCGACCCCTGGGACTTTTCCAACTCTCCTGGAAAATGAAGAAAACTCCTGCGGGAATCCCAGGGCTCGTTTTTACCATGCAGACTTGACGACTTGCTTGTGCTCGAGGAGTCCCTGGGAGGAGCAGAGTCGGGGACCGCGAGCCGCTTTGGTGATGAACCTCGCCCGTGTTTCGCGCGCACCCCTTCGTCACAATCAATTTCACGATCGGCTGACCGTCGGGGCCGGGCCCGCGGGGGGCTGGTGTGCCAGGGCCGGCTAGGGCCGCGCGGCGCCGTAGCGACCAGTCCGACATCAGAGTGTGCGATGCAGTGCGATGTCAACCTTCTGGCGCGCGGGGAATAGTTTGAGAAATGCTTTACCATACTTGCAAAGCCCTATCCCGGCGCTGACCCGGCGTGTCCGGGCTGCATTCACACGGCATCTGTTGCCGATGAGGCGTGTTTTATTATTATAATCCGCTCCTGTGCACACACACACACACACACACACACACACACACACACAGACACTGCCGTTGCGGGGTGTGATGGAATAGATAGCAGGGGTCATCTCATCGCCGCCGAGGGCGTGGCGTGGCGGGGGGTGGCGTGGTGCGGTGGGTGTAATCGGCGTGGGGTGGCGATTGAAAATTGACGGGTGATGAGGATGAGGAGGAGCTCAAGGAGGCGGGGCGGGGGAGGGGTTGTTGCGCGGCAGAGGGAGAGCGGCGCAGAAAAATAAGGGGAAAATGGGGGGGGGGGGATATTCGCACGACTTTGACGTATTGAGCAGATCATATCGTGAGGGTGATCGGCAACGCCTGCCCGCCACTCTACAGCGGTATGTCACAGGGTGGGGCGTATACGCGAGACGAACGAGCGACCCTCCGCGACCCGCTCCTCAGCTGTGATCAGCTAGAAAGG